ACTCTCTAGTCAAAAGGGTCCTTAAAAATGACTCGCGTAGGAACGGTGAAACGAGGGCAACATCGCGGGGTTACTGGATAATGGTAGGAATCGGCTGGGTGGGTAAATAACAGGGTTCTGTGTTCTACAGCGAGTAGTGAAGAAAAATATGTCCATCCCCGAAATCAGTGCTATTCACTGCGACTAAACCCAGTTTCGGCAACTCGGCTGAGCATTTAAACGATTCCTTATGCAAAGTAGGAGTATCGTTGCACCGCCTTCTTCCAAAGGAATTGTGAACCCACCCAGTGCTCCTTCCCTCCTTCTGAATTACAAATTCCTTCTAAATCACTGTCTCAGCTTTTCACAAGAATCCTTTTAGAGGGCCTCCATTTCACGACTCGCGCCCCTTTATATCTTCTGCCAGAGCAAAAGATTGCTCAAAGATGGTCTAGAAGGGGCTTACTTGTCTCATTTCGGTCCTCAGTTGAGGTCCTTTCATGCTTAGCGGTAGCGTGTTGAGCGTTCACCAGCATTTTTAGCGAGCAGGAAAGTACAGATATCGACTGCCGTCAGTGCTAGTGGTCGCGCGAACACCGGCTCAAACTTTAGATCGATACTCTGCTTCTCTAAACGCTCAAAACGCCGGCGGACGCTCAAGGCGCTGGATCGATACCTATGCTTTCCCAATAGCTCGGGACGCTGGCCGAAAACGCTGCCGCAAAGTGTGAACGCGCTCTTACAGTTTTGATTGTTAGGAATGTACTGGTCCTTTTACGCATACTCTGAGATTCTGGTAACTGCCCATAGTGTCCACTACGACGTGCCAGTCGTCCGTTTCAACTCAAAATTCCTTATCACATTGTATGTTCTCCCTAATTTCAGGTAAAAATGTCACTAGCTAGAACGACTTTAGCTCCTTTGACGAAACGAGCGATCTTCTCAATTCTGAGTCGTTCATTTAGCGGGGCTCAAGGTACGACACTTTTCATGCTCAGTTTTTCTTTTAGTATTTCTTGTGTAATACGTAGCACTTTTCAGAAGCTGACATAGTCGTCATTGGTGCAGGTCCAGGTGGCTATGTGGCTGCAATTAAAGCTGCTCAGCTTGGAATGAAGGTGAGTGTACATTTCGTCACTTGCCTGCTCTCAGTTCATTTCGATCAAAGGATTCAATGGTTTGTTCAGACCATTTGTGTGGAAAAAGATCCCACTCTCGGAGGAACCTGCCTCAATGTTGGGTGCATTCCGTCAAAGTCACTTCTTAACAATTCTCATTACTATCATATGGCTCAACATGACTTCGCCAATCGAGGTATTTCCATTTTCCTTGGAGCATTTCTTGATTTATTTTGCAGCGTTAGGCTGCGTTCACATCTTGCATCTGCGTTGTGGGCGGTTTCGAACGAGAGGTATGTAACACTAAATCGATCAGGGCAACCATCGTTGGGGATTCTCCAACAGGGGGGGGTTCTTATTCGTGTTTCGGGGATCTATTAAAGAGGGTAGTATTTGCCTTTTGGCCTTCTGTGACAGGCAATCACTTTTCGTGGATTATGTTGTTTTATATGCACTACATACTCCACCTCCCCCCCCCTCCGCTCGACAGAAAAATTCTTAGGAAAAACTAGGAAAACTTTCGGGAACTTCTAGAAATAATGGTGGGAAATTTGGAAAATCGAAGAAAGTGGTAGACAGGATAGGAAGGGAGTGTCGTAAATTCGTCGCGGTTTCTCCCGGTCCACATGTGCTATACATACCCCCCTCCCTTCCACCCACCACTCGACAGCTCGATTAGTAGGGAGGGGTTCGCACGAACTTGACGAAAATCCCAACTACTGTGCCCTGTCTAGCCTACACAACGTTTTAATTGTATGGCAGCGTTCCGAGCCTACACAACATCATCAGCGACTACGCGAAAAATTGCAAACTGCCCATAAAATCACACGAAATGCTGTTGCAAAGTGCGAACGCAGCCTCATTTCAACGGTTAAAAATGTTCTTGTTCAGGAATAAATGTCTCTCCTCAACTGAATCTCACCAAGATGATGGAAGCAAAATCAAGCAGTGTCAAAGCTCTCACTGGAGGTAAGAGCTTTTTGTAGCTGATGAAAAGGAACAGCCTAACTTGTTGTGTGTGGAAGGGTCAGGGTATAGCAACGGGGTAAGGAAATCGTCCTCTGTACAGCTTCTCCATTTCGAGGGGAGGGTGGGCAGTTCCACCAGTCAGGAGGTGGTATATACATTTAGAGAAATAGCGGAAAACGGAGCCTAAGTAGTCTGATGGGCGGGCAGCACGCTATCAGTTGCCAGCTGACATGCGAATAACTTTCTCTAATCAGGGTTCCAGTTCTTAATATGTATAATATCGTATTTTTCTGAGGCGGAGATGGTGTAGTGACAAGTGGGGCGCTCACCATTCGCGCGGTCCCGGGTTCGAATCCCGGGTCGACTCCCGCCCAGGCCAACCAAGCCTTCTACCCTCCGGGGACGGTGAATTGGTACCAGATTCGTCTGGGAGGATAAAACACTGACTTGTACATCGGCTGGCCACCGCAAGTCATTGTATAGGCCACATCGCATTCAATAACCCACTACGATTCTGAATGGAAGTAGAATGCGTGCCGCATCCCACAAAGGGATTGATCAACGGCGAAGACTTTATCCTTATTTCGTTTCTATTGCACTCTACAGCCTATTCGCTTTCCACTGCTTAGCGCACCTGTGCCGTGCATGATTAAGTAAATAAACTAACACAAATAGTAGAAACGTAGGTCTTTCCTCGCGGGCACCCTAACTCTCATCCGGCCTCTGCTCGGGTCTTTCGCTACCAAGCCCAAGCCCTTCTCGAGAAAGGTACAGAGGCGAGGCCAGTCCCAGTACTTCCCCCAGCTTTCCCATTAGCCCGGCTCCTTCCCCGAAATTCTTCCCTTCCTCAGTGATCAAACACCAGTAAGATTGCCGTAATTCGCTCCAAATGGTAATGCACGTCGTGAAAGAATACAGGCCGACAAACTCTCTACTTACTCCTTCTGGATTCCTTTGGATCCATGAGTTTGCGATCGCCTCTTCTATAAGAAGGTTTATTTTGCATTTGCAGGTATTGTCGCACTTTTCAAAGCTAACAAAGTTGGACATATTGAAGGAGTTGGAACAATCACAGGACCAAATCAGGTGGGTCTTGCTTCATCGTTCTTCCCATTCTCCTCTTTATTCATCGTTTCTTCCGTTCTGATCTAATTTCTCATGCTCACTTTCTGCCATCACCCTGGCCATTCCTGGAGGGGCGGCTTTAATTGCTGAATGTTCTTCGTGCAGTAATTTTCCGATTATCACTTATGTACATGGTGGCTTATTTCCATGGAAACAGCAATCTTACTTATGCCGCACTTTAAAAGTAGCTTTGGAGTCGAGGGAGAAGTTCTCGGCGATAATTTTGAAAAGATCGCGTTCTTTGATAGAGCAGCTTAGCATAAATGTGTCGTTAACTTATTTTTTAACTCTTTAAGGTTCAAGTGAAAAAGAATGATGGCTCAGTAGAAACTGTGAACACTCGTAATATTCTTATCGCTACTGGATCAGAAGTGACACCATTCCCCGGAATACCGATCGATGAAGAAAAGGTAAATTTTTGAAATAAGAACAGTGAGGAACAGAAAAATATCCCATGATCTTCCAAATCGGGCCCTTTTTGGAGCTATGCAAACATTGTGCACTTCTCGCCATTAAGGTAGGACACGCATTTGAATGGAGTTGTGGGACTTAAATACTAACAACAAGGTAGAAATAACAGAAAATTGAAGAAGCAGGGGAAAACCATACTATAATGCCTCATATAAGACCCCATGTATGTGTACAGGAGAAGGAAAGCGTGGTCGGAAGAGTTTTTACTTGTTGGTGTCACTTTTTTCTCCTTATCACCTCACTCTCATCATTCGAGATGGTAAGAGTATGTACCGGAGCTGCTGCACCATCAGGTAACAGTACTATTTCTTCCATATTTGCGGACAGAGGCAGGCCTTCCATCTCAAGGAAGGTGTCTGGTACTCAAATGAAAGCGATTGTGCCTTCAACTGGATTTGTGAGAATCAGAACATTTGGTGAAGTTTTGCAAAGAAAGTTCGTCTATGTTATGGAGAAGTTGCTATCTGGGCGAAAAGTTTCCGTTTGCTGGTATAGAGGGGACAATATACGAGCGCCTCATCCTCAGTGTTCCGTCGGTGGTTCAAAGTTGAGCGGGCTGATACTAAGGAGTGATGTTCGAGGGTTAGCAGTTACGAATTCTTTTTATTAGGCCCTACACTGGAGTCTAAGCAGCGGATTAGCTTCTGTGGTGGCTAATGTTATTTTTTGAAGCGATT